ATGATTCCATCCTCTGAGATTCAATAAAAAGTATAAATCGAGGGTGCAATCAAAGTTTTGCTGTTTTACAAGCAAATCAGCGTGTGTTAGCACATAGCTCTGGATTTGAAACAAAGCCGACTGTTGCACGGTTTACAACTTAATAACATTCTCATAGTTCTCCATCTGCTTCATCATCGTCGTCATTCACCTGAACACTACTGCACATAAACAAGATTTATTGTACATTGAAACCATTAGATTTCAGGAATCTTCCAAATGATCAAGTGATGAAAAGGGAACGGTTATTTAAGACAGTGGCTGTGATTTTAGTCTTCATAAGGTAGGATAAGTTCATAGAAATCGTGGATTTCAAAAATTAAAATCACCTATTCAGGTATTACGAAAAAAAATAACTGTTATGTACTAGTTCAGCTTCAGGTTTGGTATTATCATTTTGGGTGTTCCAAAATTAACAATTATTCTGTTTTCTAAATCAACGAATACTTCTTTTGAAGTCTATAATTGAAAGAGATCCAGACTTGAGAAAACTATTCTGGAGCAGTTGAGCAAAATATAATAATTAATACTATAATCAGTACAAGATCAGCATTATCAACACACGATCAACTTCATAATCAGATTCTTCCCGGAAAAAAAGGGAAAAAAAAAACCTTCATATAAATCAGACTTACATTTGAAATTGAAATAAAATAACTTTTCAGAGACTCACAAACAACACATTAAAAATTACCTGGCGTTGCTGCAGTGCCTGCTCAAATCATGGCATAGGACTTTGCTAACGTCACCTTCTCTGACAGAACCTTTCTTAATCAATTCTGCCAACTGGAGGATCATATATGAAGAAATTGAGTAAGATCTGTCTAGAGGAAAGAAGAAAAAGAAAGTGTTCACATATGAGGTAAGACATCTTAACTTACATCATCTTCAGTTTCCTCTAATAATCTGTCACATAAAAAAACATCTACATTAGACTGGGAAAATCATAAATCTACATAAGCTGGACTATGATTGCTGAATAATCATCAGCAGGTATAGTCTCACCTCCCACAATAAGTTGATATATCTTTTGAGTAAGCTCGAGCTTCTTGTTGATCTATTAAGTATTAACAACAAAAGCAATCAAATTTTGCCCAAAAAAACAAAAAACAAAAAACAAAAAACAAAACAAAAGGACAAAAAAAATTACTTCATATACAAACTCAGCAAGCTATAAATATGAGTTATCTACGAAAGAATGAAATTTCGGGTATGATAAAGATCTAAAAAAATCCAGTCCAACCCACTTGCGATTCTTGTTTCCAGTTTTCTTTTTTCTTTACTATATTATGTATCAAGTTTACGACAGTTCGCTATTGGACATTCAGCAACTGAAGAAATAAGTTCAAGTGTCAATTTCAGTAGCAAAAAAAAAAAAAATGATAAGATCATTGAGTATTCAAAGACAGGAGCTTATATTTGCCCACATACTTGTCAAGTTGTCCCAGCTATCCACCTTGATCCATTGTTGTCCGGATGAAGCTGTCTGCACCAAGAACAAATGAAACAATTATCTCACAAAATAAGCTTGTTCCGCAGTTACCAATCTCAGAGAGGGCATTTCTACAATTTCTTAAAATGATAAGCCCTCAGACATGAACTGCTGTTCTACTATGTTCCAATTAAACCAACCTCAAATAGATAATTGAGTACTACCTTCTCAATAGTGTAATCTTGCATCTTTTCACAAAGCCCATCCAGGAGTTCTACAACTCTTAGCTCACTGACCCTGCAGAAATTCAAGCTTACAATTTACGAACATATAGTTCATTCATTATTAAAAGCGACCCATTAACATATAGATAATTGGGTACGGGCCTTGAATAGTCAATTTTATTTCATTAAGTTCACAAATCTCAAACATTGTGTTTCTTTTCAGTCTTTCTACAAGTGACTCGCCAAGTTTGACTGTAGAATGTAGATGCCCACAAAACTGAACTCATAACTGCCAATACTGGTCCAACATAAATTCCTACTTTTCTATTTCAACAATTCATCTATTATCACCACTGCATTTTATAAACCAATCAATAAGCATTGTACTAAACAGGCCAAGGAAAAAAGAGTATCTTGAAAATCGGGACATTGATGTTTTACCTGTAATCAATTACCTTCCCCTTACGCTGACCTTTTGAATCCAACCGATGTCTCATATCTAAATGATTCCTCGGTTTTTCCTAGTTAAATATATAATTACTGTTCGGTTACTGAAGCAACTATCATACTTGGTGACCATGTAAAAAAAACTGACTACACTATAAACTCACATCAAACAATAATGTGAATGAAAATATATTGGGGGGTGGTATAATTTAGAGAATTATACATCGCCTTACATTGGATAGTCCACGTTCTATCTCCTCCTGCGAACCATAAATACAGACATTAGGTCCCCTTTTATAAATCTATTAGTTTGCGCTGCTTGGCGGCAATATAAACAATTTAGCATCAGTAGGAGAAATTACTTACATATCAAATAAGAAACTGCAGGATCCGATTAAAATAGAAAAAAAACGAAAAGAAAATCGATTCTGATATTCGACTAAGTTGTGGCCAAACGAAAAGGCAATGCAATAGAGAATGTTAAAAGGCGTTCGCGGAAACAGGAATTGGCAGTGATCAGATTCAGGCACCATGTAGAATACGCGAAAAGATGAAGGATTTCCAGATTTGAAAAACAAATCGATAAAGCCAACAAAAATAAGAGAAGAAGGACAAAGAATTGAAGGAATGAGAATTACGGCAACAGCATTGCAAGCGGCGCATTTATCATCAATGCAATTGACGGCACCGGAGTAGATCACTAACAACAGTAGCCCCCACGCGTTGAACTTCATCGTCGTTTGCGTATGGTCAAATCCGAGTCCTGACTTTCACCTCTCTCCGAACGCCTTCTACAGAGCTTCTCCTCCGTTTACAATTCTGAAAATGTCGAGTCCTGCGCAAGACGAAGCAAGAAAATGGCAGTGTCTTGTAACCGAAGGCCCATTTTAATGAGTTGATGAATGTGAGCCAGGCCCAATATTTACAGGCCTTAAGCCAATGGAGGCCCACTAGTACAATTGGGGATAATGGCCCTTTAACATAATTTTAGTTCTACTACACCATGTTCGAGTTTTCTAATATATATATACATAAGCTTTTTAACTAATTAATGCAATAAAAAATGTATTTTTAAATATGCCATCACTTATTTTTTCAAAAACAATATATTGAGTGGTTCTATTATTCTCTAGTTTAGGAAAACTCAAAAAATAATTTTTTTTTCATTTTTATTATTTGAATTAATAATTTTATAAGATAATTGGTATTTTTCCTTTAATTGAAAATTACCGAATTCGTAGTAGTTTGAGCCTGAGGCATTGAGGTGAGTCCTACTTCGAGAATCTGGGAGTTTTCCAATGAAGGAAATAGGAGACCCATCACTGGACTCCGAAAACGAATCAGGGGAAGAAGATGGAGGAGAGGAAACGCAGCAAGAGCAACAGAAGCCCAATCGACACGAACGAGAACTCATTTTGCTGCAATTTCTGGACTCGACGGACGATTATCTGAACCTGCTTGATGCATTGTCCACAACACTCCGCCAGGTACGCCAAAATTGATCTTCACATTAACCAAACCCTAATTCTGACATAAACTTGTTTTCCGTCAGTGTACTATGCTATTGGGTTTTATGATCAATGCTTTTTAGCATGTTTTGCTATGTTTCCGGTTCCTACATAACAATTTGACGCAATTGTGCTTCTGAAATGGTTGAAATTGAGAATGAATAAAGCGTTCGGCTATATGCAATGGAAGAGTCAAATCCTCAGATTTATACAATTTACTGACACAATAGCTATGAACAATTTCAAACTCGATTCTTTAGAAGGCCTACTGAGGGAGTGTGCTCTTTCGTGATCTCTTACTTTTTGTTGGCTGCGGAAATGTTACCTCTAACTCCGTGCATTCATTCGAGTAACAGGGATGGTTTGAGTTGGCGAGCGCCCGACATTCTATGGGTACCTCTCGCATAAGCCCTGCGCTACTGGACTTGAAAATTCACTCTGCTGCTACAACGTTGCGGGTGGTCGAATGCGATGGTAATCTCAATCATCTCTCCTTCCGGGTCACCACAATTGAGGTTTTGAACCAGTTGGGAAATCTATAAACAGTCCAATCCACAATTTTAAGTTGCTACATCATTTTCTGACTACTGTTAAACAACTCAATATCCTGACAGATGGAAGATTTAAAGCCTAGGCCACAGAGTGAGTCTGAGTATCATGTGACTAATTGATCTTGTCAATTGTTCAACCTAATGATAAATTTGTTTAAACATATTATGTCGAAGATGTAACATCGAAGCTTTGAAGAAATTGTGATTATTTAACAGTTATACTTTTTAACGATGATCATCCACCCATAGGGGGCGCTATAGGAAGACATCCATGCATTAACTTGCGGAAATGGACATCCGCCGAAGATGAAGAGTGCTTGAGGGCAGAAAAATACAATGACAAATTGCTAACGAGATCTGATAGTACACAGCTACGACAACGGAACATTTCTGAGCTTTCTGGTAGTCGATGCCTTCTCTTATAAGTAGACAAATAAGACCATATATCTGCAACATACTATTACTGCATACTTTTAATGAATTTATGCTTGGATAATTTTTTTGCCCAAGTTATTGTCTTTTTGGTTGCTGTTCATTGGAGCGTAAGTAACCTTTCTCCTTGAATTCATTAGAAGGTAATCAGGGTAAAGGCTCTACAAAGAAAGGAGATACTCTCATCATTGATGATCAGGCAAGTGTTCACTACTGTTGGTATCATTGACCACTTCTTACTCGTATTTTCCTTTTAAATTATATGGATTTTCTTCTCATTTTTTGGTACGGTTCAGATTTTCCTAATTAAAACTTTACTGTGTGGTACTTGGATGAAAAAAGAAGTGGACACTGAGTAACAGTATGTATCTTGATCATGTTACTGTAGATACAAAGGGAACGATCTCAAACACTTTCTATGTTTGGAACTCTGGTTTCCCCAAAGCTTCGGTCAGCCCAACTTTCATTTGAGAACGGTAAATGGTTCAATATTTGTTTTCCTCAGTAAATGGGTGTGTGTGTGTGTTTTATATTCAGAGAGAGAGTTCACATAGTTCAAGTATGTGATTATTTATATACTCGCAATTTAATTGGTGCAGCACTTGAAATTATTGTGGAAATTGCGAATAAGCGGATTGCAATGCTGTCTTCATTTGATAAAGTCAAGAAAGGATTGGAAGACTCATCTTCCTTCGAGTAAGTCACGAAAAAGCAAGAGAATTATTTGTTTCCCACCTCCATTTCCTCGGGGGGAGAATAGGGCTTTAATGTATCATTTAAATAAGTATAAATCGGTGTCGTAAACTGTAGACTAATTCATTGTTCTTAGTCCTCTGAAGTCCCTTTTCAATGTGAAGATTGGTGCCTGTATCGAAAATGAAAGTTGGTGTAATGTCTATGGTTCAAATTGACCCCGGCGGACCTTCACACGATTTTTTCAGTCGACGACTCATTCATTTTCTTACAGTTTAATTTCCTTTTGACCTATTAGTTGTCAGCCTACTGAAATTTTTTCCAACGGCTCACGTCATGGGTATGATTCCTTATTATTATTGTTTTAACGTTAATCATCCATATAAAACGATTAAATTTATTACAAGAATGGATTTTTGCCCATTCAACCATTTGATTACTTCGATTTTGATTGAAGACTTCATGGCCTTGTTGATCTGGGGTCGGGACAACATCCTAATAGGGAATCTTATTTAATCGTGCACTATATTTTCCATATTGAAAGAATTTGAGTTGCTTGTTACTTTTGCCCGCTGGTTACAATAGAATAACTCGCATCAATCTTTGTTTCAAAACATGTCATCATAAGCAAACAATGTCATGAAATCAATTCATAAACCACCACCATAACATACAAAAATATGACCATCCAGCTCATGTTCTTCCAAGCCATACAACAGGCAAAAAAAATGGCACCCGGCTCACCAAAATGAACTAGACAACAATGGGAAAAACAAGAGATCGATACAAGTACAAAATCAAGCTGGATCTGATGGCTGATGGTTAGAAAGCTCTCCAACTATCAGAACTTTTCTTCGGACTTTGATTATCTGATGAAACTTTAAACGGTCCTGAGGACCCAAATGGGTCTGAGTCATCAAAAGAGAAGTCACTGTGCCCGAAATCTCTGGAGCTGCCAACGGAGTCGAACCTGGTGTGCTTCTGGCTACTCTGGCCGAAGTCCATGCTACTACTGATAGAATCAAATCTAGAAAACTTCTCTTGATTATGACCAAAATCTCGAGAACTGCTCATGGAATCAAACCTAGAAAACTTATCTTGATTATGGCCAAAGTCTCGAGAACTGCTCATGGAATCAAACCTAGAAAACTTCTCTTGATTATGGCCGAAATCTCGAGAACTGCTCATGGAATCAAACCTGCTGAACTTCTCACGTTGCGGAGAAAAACTGCCATCCTGCATGCTGAAAGAATCAAACCTGGCGGAGTTGTCAAAGAAGTGATCCCCAGCATCGCTATATTGGGGGGAAGAGTTGCCAAATCTAGAGAGAGGCGTGGGAGGGACAGATTCCTCAAAAAATGGGCTTTTTCTCTGGAAGAAGCTATCTGCATTCGGGGATCCTGTTTTGGCGGAGCCCGTATCGAAATCACTAGACCCAAAGAAATCTCTGTGCTTGTCAGAGTCTGGCTCCTGTGTGATGATGGCATCAAATAAAAAGAAACTGAGAGTTTGAGGCATGGCTGAAATTCAATATGCAATCAGCTTGACACTATAAGTCTATAATCAATAAATTGTACAATCACACAACTTCATGTAGAATTAGTAACCCAGAAACTGGCAGATTGTAAGCATGCGTCGTCATGACTCTTCTTCTATAACAACCATGCAACCTTTACAATTAAATCAGTCGCTTTCTATTATAAATTTCTATGAGCAAAATCAGGAACATTTACCTATTTCCTTCAATGTTTCAATGACGATATTCAGCTAAAATAACCAAGCAACCATTGGTGGAAAGTTCATACAGCAGGGTTGAAATGAAAATGATTGCTCTTAACATACCATGTACGACAACGTTGATTTTACTAATATGAAATATCAGGGCGTTCATGTAATTTCCCAAACACAGATGTGAACGTCAAAAGACCAATAGCCTGTCAGGAATTAATTTTATGACCTATTTTCTGTTCTTGACTCAAAAATACAAGTTTCAATAGGTGTATTTCCGAAAGAAAAAAAAATTGCCATTTTATCATTCTTACAAGCTTGTTTAAAAAGAAAATCTGTAAAACTATGAATGATGATGCTCGAAGTGCTTAATAATGTTAATTAATGAAATATTTTAATATATGAAATAAACTGTAAATAGAAAAATAATAATAATAATAAATACTATGTGCAAAGAGTACTTCCACAAACAAAAGACAGAAACAAAATCTTCAACAATTATCCTCAAAAAAAATTTCCTTTTAAAGATAGTTTCCAATATAAAACCCAAATAGATCTGTAAATTTATCATGCCCAACAAGGCAGCAGAAAAAAATCCAATATTGAGGCTCACCTTGGTATTAACTGGTTTTATTCCCCAAACTGAGTCCACATCGTCATTATTGTCAAAGGCGCCCCAAGTTGACTCATTGAAACTTCTGATGCCAGAAATAAACAGAGAACCATAATATAAAAAGGATGGTTCAATTTCAATGAAAGAGTTGCAAGAAGGTACAAGTATAAAAATTACGAATGCATTATTTACCTATGTGCTTCCGGACTTTTTTCATAACCAGCATCTGAAAAGTCATGAGAAGGGCTCTCTAGACATGTCTTTGCAGCTGGACTGCCATATGGAGGACTTCTTGCTGATTCATCTTCACTGTGGCTATACACAGATTCGCTCTCAAGGCCACGATTGATGGTACTCGAGAACTTCCCCACTTTGCCATTTGAATTTGATGGTGAATCAGGGGTTGAGTTATAATCTGCTAGATCCTTTTCACCCTGACTGGCTGATATATTTGGTTTTGAGGCCAAAACAGCTTTTGCGTCAAGATTAAGATCATTGGAAAACCCTGAAAGGTAAATTTATCAACAGATATCAATAAAAATACATGGGGTATCCGTATCTCCATCAAATAACTAGTCAAAATTTGCTGACGATAGTTGAGACCAAAAACTGCAACACTCTAAGTTCAGGGAAGTAAATAACTTGTCAAGAACCACTTTTGTACCTTCATCTTCAAACTTATCCCACTCTTCATCCCAAATAGCTGCATCATCCGGAATTCCAGGTTGCCAACCTTACAATTCCGTCATGAAAATTTTCATTAATGTAAACCAAGATACATCAAGTCGCTAGAACATGTAATGGATTGCATCATACCACAAATGCTGTACAATCAATACAGGAACAAACGTAACAAACATTTCCTCGGCAATTTTTTTTTTTCTAAGTTGCAGAGAAGATCCTTGAAAGGAAGATGACCTAACAATGCTTTGAAAGCATATGCAAAGGAATCTAGATAGAATACAAAGGTATGACATAAGAATCCTTGGAAAGCATATGCAAAGGAATCTAGATAGAAGACAAACGTTAAGAAAACTAAAAATCTGAGGTTAATGTGAGACTAATACCTACTGGAAGTTCAATTATAGCTGCCGACTTAACATCAAATCCATGTTTCTTACAACGTTCAGTTAAAGCCTTCATGAGCTCCTCAATATCAGATTGTATTCGATCAGCTCGGACCTGAGAAGCAGAAAAGCATCAGTACTCAGACAACTGCACAGAAAAGCCGTCTGCATTGCAATTTGATGCGCACAGCTGTTAGCAAAATTATACCTGAAGAATACCATCTGCACTTCCTCCTTGTTCCATTTTAATAATTGCTTGATGCAACTCTGTTTTCCTTTCCTGGAAGGACAAATAATATGGGAATGTAGAATGTTAAATGAAATAACAAAACTCAAATTCGGCCAAAGATAAAACATTTTAGATACTAGATCATCATATTGCCCTGTGGCCTAAAATGACCTTCTTTCCCCTGCATGCATCTAGTTCTGCTCATCGAGCAACATAATACTTTTATGATTTTATTTTATTAATTAGATGCAATTATTAAACTCTAATGTAAATTTTTAATTAAATCGGTTAACATAGTATTAATTGATTATATATGTTAACATTTAGCATTAAGTCCTTATAACTACGTTATGTATGCATAAATTTCGGCAAAATCAAATATACGTTAACACACACACGCACATATACCATGCACACATATATATGTAATAATATAAGGTAAATAAATATCCCCTTATCAAGAACTGATATACAAACAACTTGGAAACAAAAATAAAGTGTCATTTTTTTAAATATTCTTTTAGTTGTTTACTTTGAGAATGAGAATAATTTAAAAAGAACCGTAATTTACTTTTAAATAGAACAAATGGTTTATAAATTTGGCAGAAGATCTACTGAAACTAAAAACATAAACTCACCACAGTAGGTTACACTCAAATAATTGCACTGAAATAATGTCCACACTTGTTCACACTCATGTTATTGTCTGAGAACTTGTGGAAACTACCACTCTAAATGATTTATTTATCTTTTTCTACTTATAAAATTTGTTTCTACAATGTATGCTTAAGGCACATGCAACTTCCACTTGTATACCAAAATAATAACAATAATAATAATAATTACAAAGAGATAACTAACCAAGGCAAAGAAATTTTCTAACTAACTGCCGAACAATGACAGATTTGATAAGATAGACCAGATGGTCCTAGTAGATGCTATTAAAAAATTGAAGAAAATACATGAAAGAATTAAGACACAAAGCCAACAGTTCCGATATGTGTACTTTTACCTGAACATCACGATACTTTGCTTCTTCAATGGTTAGCTTAGATGCTATTTCAGCCACTTGCTTGTACTTCTCCTCGTATTTTTTTGCCAATGATTCTGCCTGCAACATAAAACCATAAATAAGAGCAAAGAGAACTCAAATATAGTAGACCAAGAATGGAGGGGGGAAAATGTAAAAACACCTCGCGCTTGTCAGCTGATGCCCTTTCTGTGATCTCATTCAATCTATTGTCACATCTGCTTTTATGTAGAACCTGAAAAGAAGGAAATGATTACACGTAAAATTAAACTAGTTATCTACCTAAAAGAAAATAGTCAGAAAATATTTTTGAAAGAAGTTAAACAAAACATGTACTAAAAACCTAAATTTGGTAAATAAGTTAAAGCCCCTCCCCGGCCTATAGGCCAAATTGTTGCCCACTGAGATAATTTGCCTAGCCTAACAATTCTATTCTAGTAGCCAGTTAAGGAAAAAACATGACTGTTATGTCTAAAGTTAGAGCTTGAGCACCCTCAATGCAGGTCTAAATCACCATCTCAGGGTCAAGCCCTCACTCTGAATCAAGCCCAAATTGGAAGGGCCATGTTCAGAAATTTGAACCATTCAGATAATTTATCCATGTTTCATTTTGGATTGTACCAAATGGTCCAGAAGCACCAAAGAAATCAGATACCCTCCATTTCCATGAGGAGTGTGTTAGTAAAGATGTTGCCACATGCACACACCCACTCAAGTCATAAAAAGGAAGGTTTAAAAAGGAGGTCCCAGATGTCTTGATTGCAGTATCTTCTCCTGAAAATTAAAAGTGGCCAAAAAAAGTTCATGTAACTTACTCACTGAATCAATGTTAATTAGTAAAAAGCATGTTGATTTTTAGATCTGGGGTAAACTATGCACAGCAACTTGGTTGACGATGGGGTTGGTGTTGGCAACTTAAAAAACTTCTTGTCTCTTGCATGGGCTTACTCGTCGATCCAGTCCCATTGAACTTGCGGTTATTTAGTATTTGATGTTTCTTCTTTCGCTCCCACTAGACTCGAATCACCTTCTTCCTCTTCTGTTTTTGGTTCTTCAGAATAGCGCCAAAAATCTGTACTCAACCCCTCAAGCAGCTTCAAATTGAGTAATGTCACTTCTTCCCTCGATTTGTTTAATATTTTGTACATTTTAGACAAATTTTTTATCTTCTGAATTAATTTTCAAGATCTAACAACTCTAGCACCAATTCGATAGGAACCAAAAATTGAAATGGAAAGTATTATTATTATTATTATTATTATTATTATTATTATTATTATTATTATTATTATTATTATGATAGGAAACAAAGAACTGTATAGATAGGAAGGAACGGCTTAGAGGCTGGGGGATGAAACATGAATTATTAGAAAATTTTATTGATATGAAAAAGTAAAATTACTCTCCCCTAAACTATTTCTAGAAAAATACTACTGACCCTCTAAACTCCCTATATTTATAACCATAGCCACAAACCAATTTTTAAGTGGTGAACTCCTACAGTGCACCAACATGAGCCTAGCTCATTGGTAATTAGCATCTACAGTGCTAATGAATACTATACATTTATACCTATTTTAGATAAGCAACAATTATATGCCACTCTATAAAAGGAAAAATGCTCATGTGTAAAATAAATTAGACTTGGAATTGCATATTGAGCACATACTATTTTAAAAACTGAAAGCAAAGGGCAGCAAAAAGTACTTACAAGTTCCTGCATCGTTGTGCGATAGAATTCAACCTTTTCTCTTGAATCCAAAATAACATTCGCTGTCTCTCCAACCTATCAAAATAATGAAAAACATAACAGTGAGAATATACTGCATAGCAGATGAAAATTTATCAACAACACCAAACTCATAAGGAAGACAATAAAATAAAATATATACAGAAGAAGATACGAGGGGGAAATTTTATACAGAATAAAAAAGGAGAAGCCCATCAACTAGCAAGCATAAGATTTCCACATTCACAATAAAGAGAAACCGGGTTCCCCTCCAGGGAAAATCATGGAATTTGACAGATAGAAATAAGGAAATGCCTTTTTCTCTGATGCTGTAGCCTCTTGAGCATTTGAGCTAGCAGAATTTGGTTGGCCCTTGCCAGACTGGTCCAAAAATGAATCCTCCAACACTGGAGCCCTTGATTTCTGATCATTGGATAATTTAGCACCATCAGCCTTGGAAGCAATAACACTTGTTGGGGGCCTCGGTCCGGGAGTTGGTGGTGCCATTGACCGAGCGGTGACCACAGGTTGCTGGTGTCCAAATCCTAATTTCAAAGAACGAAAAGATAGAGCAACGTATGAAAATGAAAGAAATTAGAGGGCAGAAGAAGGATAAGCACAACTCTGTATTAGTACCAGGATGAGGACCCCAAGCTGCATTTGGATGGACAATGTTTGACTGTCCTGTCATGGACAGCAGAGTCTCATCATACATTACATTATTTGGAAGCACAGCTGGAAGAGGCCGACCTTCCCTGTAACGTTCCATTAGATATAAAGCAAAACAAAACTCTCTGAGAGAAAGCATGCTGTCATTGTCTTGATCAGATAAGTCCCACACCTGCTTCAAGACCTCTGCGAATATGAAACATTGCTTGAGTGTGCATAAATACTTAAAAGAAAATCCATAAAAGCCGTATTTACAATAGCTTCAATGAGACAAGGAGAAATTAGGACATAAGCATAAGTTCCTAGGGGTTAAAGAAAGCATAAGTCAATTTCTTAAAACTAAATCTATCTTCCTAGCATTACATTAGAAAGCAAATACATTTCCAAATACTCAAATTGTGTCTAAATGCAAATGCAGTTGCAAATCTAAAAAGAGAACAGTAACTAAATGACGTAACCAGATCTTTTTTTCATATTAAAGTGAAAAAAAACCATAATTCTAACCTCTAATGTGCAGCATTCCTTTAATATATATTCATCGAGCATATATGTCTTTTCCCATTTTTATTGAAACATAAAGTTATTCATTCAAGCAAATAATACAAAAACAGGAAGAAGAGGAACCTCCCCACCTAGAGGTTATAAAAACTGTAGAGTTGACCTAAATTTCAAAAGAGGAACAATTTCAAACTGACAAGATTCTCACCCCCACCCTCCATGTTTTCATTTTGAAGCTGGAGAGCCCAAAATTCGTATAAAACTCTCTTCAATGTTATAGTTATGTTTCAAAACTAGAGACGTGTAACTGATGAGCTCTTGACATTGCACCTCAATTTAGAAAACTAAACATTGTTCAGATATGTTCAGAATTCTGACAATAATACAGCAAGCTCCAATAATGGCATGCCTTTGACATTAACAATCTATCCTAAATTGTTTTCTCCTATTTCATTAAAAGAAAAAACCACACTAAATGAGATAATTTGTGCTTCCAGTACAACGGGAAATTATAATATAGATTTAAGAGAATAAAAGAAAGGGGGAAACGAGAGAAAAAATAAACAAAAAGGAAGTCATACCTCTAGGTAACCTCCAACTTAAAAATAGATTCCTTGCCTGCTCACCAGTTATTCTTCCATCTCTGTCAGTATCTACTTCCATAAAAACTTTCGTGTACTTCTGAACATCAGTTGGTTTCATCTTTGGCCAAGTAACCTGTGCATTTTCAGGAGTAGAATTCCTGGTTCCAGTTGTGATCCCAGAAGATAAAAGTGCTGATGGACCTGTTGCTGGAACCTCCTTGCTAGGTTCCGGTGATGACTGAGAGAGCTGAAACTGTGCACCAGATAATGGCCTTGAAACGAATGCACTCTGCAATGAATCCATTGAGTTATGCTTACTTAAAGGTTGGGATACACCAGAAACTGGAACAATGGCTGATGGGCTAATACTACTATTAGCTGCATTGTTGAGTCCAGAAGATTCTGGTCTAGGTGGAGATGGAGTTACAGAAAACATATCAGGACCATATGCCGACTTAGAAGTAAATCCATTTCCAGAAACAACTGATGCTCTATCGTTAGGCATAGGCTGTAAAGGCACTAAAGCTGATGATAACGATGTAGCTGGGGAAGGCACTGGAGGACTAACTCCTCTAGGCCCAGCAGCAGGGGCACCTGGCCTTCCATTGAGCCAGTCATTTGGGTTTGAAAGATTGGATCCCCCTACATTTCCTCCTCCAGAGGGTTCAGAAGTAGCACTGACCAGTTGCATATTGGAAGCAACACCACCAGGTGTGGCTTGAGGTAACCTCATGGAAGGGTTTGGCTGGGCTGGAAAGTACTGCTGATTTACACCCGCATTTGGAGCCGCTTGTCCTCTAAAGCGAAAATTTTGAGATGCGGTTGGTGCTGGTATATTCATCTGTGGAGAAGATGCAGCCGGCATTGAATTTGATTGAGAGGCAGGTACAGCTGAAAGATCAATCTTTGGAGGGGGAATTTTCGCTGCAGCAGGACCGTATAGTGCTGCCTTAACAATTTCAGGCGTCAGATCTCGCTTACTTTGTGCAACAGTTACGAGTCGGAGAGCATTATAAAATTCTGGTCGACCAAGGAAACCTGTTTTTCTCTGATCAGCATGCATCCATATCTGCAAGTAAGTAAGAGAACCTTGATTACAAAATCAAATATCCCATGGTGGCACCTAACTCAGATTTAATATCCTACATGTTTCCTTGGCAACCAAATATAATAGGGTCACGTAGTTGTCCCGTGAGATTAGTCAATGTGCACGTAAGCTGGCTGAACACTCACGGATATAAAAGGAAAAAAAACCATTTGCAGAAAGAAAAGCATATTGACATTTCTTATTACATGATACCAGTAGAATGGAAACAGTTAGAGGCGTCATCTTATATATAGATATTTCTTGGAAAAACGCCAAATCCAGGGACAAGCCTTTCGACTTAATAACTTCAATACAGACTATACGTACTAGTATGTGCACAAAGGTCATGGATTCAATCTCGTGAGGAAGTTATAGAGTTAATTCACAGGTCTGACGGTGGAATGCATAACAGTTATATTTTAAGACTGCATTTCGAAGGATAGAATTTTTAATAGACAGAAAAGCCTCAACGGAAAGGTCTAGGTAGGAAATTAAGCATCAGAACTTTCCTAGAAGATACAAATAACCCCCAAATTCACAAACACGCTCTTCCGCGAGGCGCAGACAGCTGATTTTTTAATTCCAACAAACAAAGTAATAGAGTCAAAGACGAACAATTTATGGATTTCAAATTCGCAAAGCAATCCAACTACGTGGAGCCATTGATCTAATTCAAATAACCCATGAAAAATCTGAAAAATAAAAGGTAGGGAGTGTAAAGCGAATAAGGGAACCTGCGCAAGAACATTTTTAGGCAAATTGGAGCCCTGAAAGAAAGAAACAGCTTCAGCTCCACTAATCCTTCCGTCACCGTCCAAATCGGCTCTCCTAAAGAATGCGTCGAACTGATCCATATTAGTCCCCCTGGATTGGATCCCGCCGGTAGCAGACACAAAAACACAGTAGATCAAACTTCCTTTGGAGAATCCTGGTACGCAGCAATGAGACTATGATCTCACTCGAGCATAGACAATTCGATCACAGCAACAGTAAGGAGAGCAGCGAAATGAGATGCTAGGTCTATGAACGAATTGCAGTGTTGGTTGAGGGATGGGTTCATAGATACGCTGTGGTCTGATGAAGCGCGGGATCGAGGGAGGGTGGGAAGGTGGGAGAAGTAAAAGAAGCCAATCACCAATATACCGAACAAGAAGGGAAGGAAAGAAAATGGAAGAAAATTCAGGTAAGGCCGGGGAAGGGATGCCTACAGAGAAAATTCCTCTCCGAGTCTCGCTGGCTTAGTAACCAGAAATAACGAAAACCTTTTTAATTAATTATCTTATTTTCTTTAGAACGGGGAAAATAAATAATGTAGCCTGCGTCAAATATTTATAATCCAAACCACAATTATACTGTTATATATATTTAATTGCCGAACTTTTCATTAAAATCTATTTTAATTACAATCGGATTTGTTTGATCAATGATTTATCAAAATTGCCTAATGTTTTCTACATCTACCATTATAATCACAATCTAATGTCTCTTAAAAATCTCACAAAAATAAATTAAACCGAAAAGGCAACATAAGCTAATATTGAAATAACACTAGTTACAAATACATTGTTAACATATAATCTTGTAGTTTATTTTGAGACCAACAGTAAATCATGTCAATATGAACTTAACTCAAGACAATTGACATCTGTCTCTTAGTCAAGAGATCATTAGTTCAAATTCTCCCCCTCCACTTGTATAAAAGAAACACAGTAAATCATGGTTAGAAGTAACCAATGAAAAGCCAAAGTAGAGCCACAGCGAATATCGACACCAAAGGCTTGAGGAGCATGACATGCTCCCGTTCAGTAGATCTAGTGTGAAGATTCGATCAAAGGCTTATTGGAGATCGACAATAACTAAGTATTATAGCCATCAATTTTCAAGCTATGTATCTTAGCCAAAAGAAAAGAATGCGCCAAATTATTTGAAACTTTAAAAGCAACTTTTTGCGATACAATTTACAAGAAAATTAGATTGTTCTGGTTCTCCCATGGATTAGTGATTGTGTTCTGTTGTGTTCTGTCTTCTTCTGTCTACCTGTTCTCTTTTCGTTTCCGTCCTTTTGCCTTCACTCCTGGGAGATAATTAGCTCTGCCTGAAAGAACCCACAAGTACTTTCAATTGCAAGTCTCTTCTAAAAAATCTATTGCAACATCTCAAGTTCTTGATCATCACATTTACAACTGCTGTGGTATATAACCTAGGATATTTATTATCCAAACCAGTGTTTGGCCATATCTTCCAAGAATCAAGTACAGTTTCATTCACCGTCTTTGATGGAGAAACCCAGAAAGAAAGAAAGAAAAACTTGTAGTTCAAGATAGTTTCGGGTGCTTGTTTCTAGCTCCTTTACAAGAGAACAATTCTGAATCAACTCTAACATATCAGCTAGAAATGATTTCATGTCATAATGTACGGGGTTCGCTAGAAAATCTCCAAGTCATCTCGACATGAATTCCATGTTTTTAGTATGTATACTGCCAACAATACCTAGGCCACCTTGGTTAATGGTGCAACTGGTATCCCATTGAACCAGGTGGCTGCCACTTGCTATGATTGAGAAGCCTATCCACCAAATAGATTGGATACAAACTCGTTTGAAGCTTGGTTGAATCCCTACGAAGAGAATCTTAAGAAGGTAGGCGCCTCGGCACATGGGTCTTTTGTGTTTTGGAGCTGAATTGAGGTAGAAAGACTTTCAGAGATACTGGCGCGACTGTCACTAGATGCATAGCCAAAGTGAAGTCAGCCCATTTCCAGAGACTTGGGCGCTGCTGTTCTAAATGAATAGCCAAAGGTATCAACAATGGACCCTGCAAATTGAAAATGAATTGAATAAGTGTAAAGTAGACCTTGAGAAAACAAAGAAATAAAGAAACCCTTTGAAAAATTCCCCCATACCTCCTTTACCTAACTACAGTCCTACATTCCCATAAAAAAAATTCAGGGAATCTTGACGGACAAAACCATAAGAAACAGAACTCCAGTCAAAACGAATTAAACAAGTTCAAAGTTTCAAACCTTCCTCCTTTGGGGAGAATATTTCTTCCATTTATGCAATCTGAATTCCACCTTTGCTATAAACAGAGTCCGGAAGGGAAGTCCACTGTTTGTAGACTTTCCTCAGCGGAAGCCCAAGAAATTTCATAGACCATTTTGTAAGATGACATAATTTCAGCAGTCAACAGCGCTAATAATGCACCACATCAAGTAGAAATACTTGTGTTACTAAGCTTCAAATGATCAAAAAAGAGAAAAAACAACTTGTTTGTAATTGATATGACCTGTAAGATTTCAGTAATGCCATCCATTGGCACGCCAACGTCTTTGCAAATTTTCCTGTTGACGAGCAACTTTGATTTTCAACCAGAGTCTATATGCCATTTCTATTCTTTCAGAAGCCAATAGTTTGTTATAAAGCTTACTACATATTTGCCTACTTGGGAAGAAGCCCTGACGTAAACATTCCTCCATGACAAGTACAGCATTTTCAAGCTGCCCTGTTTTCCAAAGACAATCAATAGCATGCTCATAAGTCTCCACGTCAGGATCATAACCACTCTCCTGCATCTCATTCCATATATTTAACAGTGTACCAAATTTACCAAACAAAGAAAGCCGCATCATCAACAATTTATAAGCATTTTTCGATATCCTACATCCAACTTTTCTTGCTTTCTTGTAGATTAACATGGCTGCATGGGGAGGACCATAACTACAGCAAAGTTCGATAAAGGACGTTATTGCCCCCGTAGTGGGAATAACTCTTACCACCATCTCATCGAACATTTCAAGTGCATCAGCAACCTTCTTGGCTTTAAGAAAGCCAATAATCAAAGTGGAATACGTTTTCATGTCCGGTTCACATTTATTACTCAACATACGCTTGTAATAGGTCATGCATTCATCAAGATCACCTATGCATATAAAATTGGAGATCATTGCATTATAAGCACCAACGTCTGGAGTACAGCCTTTCTCGTTCATTTTATCAAATATCTTGACAGCATCGTCAATACGATTAGCTCTGCCCAGACACTCGAGAAGATAGGTGTAGGTCAGACAATCTGGAGAAAACCCATCTCCTTCCATAGCATTCAAAACTCTCTCGACTTCACTAAGCCTACCATGTCTTGACCATCCACTGAGAATAATGTTATATGTCATGGCATTGAAAGGAACATTCTTCCTGATTAAATTGAAGAAGGAGCTTGCAGCACCCACGTGGGATCGTTGACACATGCATTTTAGAATAACATTCAAGGTTTCAGTATCACATTTCAACCCAAATTCTTTCAAGTTTCTAAAGAGTTGAAGTGCCTTAGAAACTTGGTGGGCTTTGACCAGACTGTCCACCACAATGGATACTGTCTCTATATTTGCATTCACTCCCTTCCGCGTCATGTTGTGCAAAACATCCATCATGGAGTCAAAAAACCTTCTTCTACCCAAAGCTTTAAGAATTACGTTGTAACTAGAAGTATCTTCAGCTATCGTTGGCTGTTTAATAGCCCAGTAAAAGAAGGTAATCATTGCTTCACTGCCTAAACTCCCCGTGTTCAGTACTTCGTTGATGACATCTAGGCTCAAATTCACATCAGCACTATCTAAAGCATGTTCGATTGCAGTTTTACCATTCAGTTTTTGAAGGAAGACACCTCGTAATTTTTCTTCTGGTCGTAAAAATCCATCCACCGCCCTAATTGGCATCTGTTTCACCGTGTGTTTCTCTTTAAGTGTGTTAGGAACCGAACCATAAGGATTAGCCAGTAAAAGATCAGAAAGTTCCCCAATAATGAAGCGCTCGTCTATGGTGGATTGATTTTGAATCCCATTACCCAAAACACCGCCGTCAAATAGATTTGATGGTTCATCTAGGGTTGAAAATAAGTATGATAAAGACGATGAGGGCGAAGGCGAGTAAAGTAAGCGATAAGGATACCTGCCTCTGCCGCGACGCGCCAAAAAGCACCCTTGGAACTGGTAAGAAAGAATACGCCGTGAAGCGCCGAATGCCATACAACTTATGAATGGATCGTATGCTGAAAGAGAAGTGTCGGAGTGGCTCGAAGGGGTGAGCCCGAACGAGGATGGGACTTTCGCCTGTGGGTTCGAAGTTCGAACTGGTTAGCGGAGATGTCGGCGCGCGGAGCCACCCCTTCTCTGATATTGCTCTCCGACGCCGTTGGATGGATCAAATTCTTATTATTTTAAAAATAATAGACCATTTTATAAAGTGTTGGATCGAGGAAAATGTTCCTCTTCCTCGCTCCCAACTCCAAATGATAATGTTAAATATATATATTATGGTTTACTTTAATCTACGTTTTCATGTTTTTTTTACGTACAAAATCTACGTTTTCATGTTTTTTTATGTGCATTATATTTGTTGTACCCAGGGTTGAAAATGTCGACATACACATGGGGGAAAGTTGATTTTTCCCGTCAAAATATTGGACGTCGACATGTTTTTTTATCCTCTTATTCTTTTAATGTTATTTTATTCTCATTCTCTTCCTACTATGCCATTACATAACGAAACATTCAAATTTTACCATTGTTATAAAATATAACTAATAAGATTTGGAATTTGCTTTATTGACAATTTCTAATCCAATATAGTCCCTACTTACACAATTGAACAATATATGTGAAATATTCAGATATATAAATATTGAAATAATCTTAKAATTTTTTAAAAATAAAATATTATTATATACAAATAGTTGTGAAACATGAAGTATAATAGGTAACTTAATTAATACCAAAAAGATGATTTCGGATGATCTAGTGCATAAATTACAATAGATCTCCTCGGTCATCGTAGAGTGAAAGTTTTGAAGGTAGTTGCTCAAATGAGTATAATATGAATGTAGATGATTTGGATGAATGACACAGTCATGAGGTTGAGGTGTTTGAAAATTGTGCAAATTTGATTGGAAAGTTGGATTAGATTATTGATTTGAAAACATTTTTGAAAAATGTGTAAATTAAAATTTGAAAAAGAAGTAGGTTAGGTACGAATTAATTATAATTTAGAAATGTGTTTGGAAATCGATAATTATCTCATTTCCAAATGAGTCATATTATGAAAAGCAAAAAAGTAGTCAAAAGTTTACAATTAAAGTTTATTTTACTTATTCAAGTTTTATTTGTTAATTCAAGAAATTTCCATCAAATTTCATATTTTCCATTATTTTTCCTGAAATATCCATCGACATGTTTGTAAAATCAATATCTCGACATTTTCGTCGACATCGCCATTTTGAACAATGGTTGTACTCTTATTTTCTTTCTTTTTTTTCCCGTTAATTATTTTAGTACACTAATCTTCTCTATATTTGGCCTGGATAAAGTTCCCTAAATGATTTTACGTGATTTAAAATTTAATAAAAAATTTAAAATTTCTTATATTGATTGGAATGATAAAATAAAAATTTTACTGATCTGGACTTTTAGTCTAAACTTATTAATTAAAAATAGAAATATGATAGAATTGAATAGATAATTTACTTTAAAATTATATGAAATAAGGTAAAATCTGATATTTTGGTCCGAGATTTTGTTTAGGTAAGAACGGGAATTGAAATCTAGTAAGATTTCAAATCATTCAAAATCAGGTGGTACCAAACAACAAAATTCATTTAAAATATGTTATCTTCAAAATCCGAAGTATCAAATAGAGAATGAGAACCATCCCAACTGTTGGGAAGGAATAAGATTTTTGGACCCGTTTATTAACATTTATATTTTGTTTGTTTTCTTGTTTCTATCTAATCACCGCTAACATTCCTATTTATTGCTTTTCATTTTGAACAACTAAAATATGTTTTTCATTTCAAAATCGCAAAATAAAAAATATGTTTTGTCGTATTTAAATTTATGGTGGTCGGGATCACACAATTCATTTTTTATTTATTAAAAACGATGAAACAAAAACTTAAGAAAAAAAAACATTAATATTACCATATAGGTTCTTACGTCCAACTTCCATGCTCGTTAACTTACAAACAAAAGTTATAGCTATTTTCATCTTACATCATTTAAATGTTTCCTTGTTTAGTATAACATGTATGATGAGATATTCGAACTTACGATCTTTTGATCATGATGTTTTGAAAAATAGGATCTATACCGTTACCTAAAACATGCTTATTCCCACGTATGTAGCTTCGATATATCTCCCACTCTTTATTTTTCGAGTAATTGGTAAAATGAATTGAATTAATATCTCCATCATCTGAATCAAGTAATGAAGTCATGTAGTTGTACAATCGATTCAACTATCAACGTCTGCGATGGTAATAAGTGTATTGTCTATAGAGTCATGTTTAAATGTATATAGACAAGTCATATTGTCACTAACTACTCAATTTAATGGCAAAATGATAGCTATAATAATTTGTTTAATCAACAACTTAAATATAAATAGTTAAAGTATAATAAAAAAAACAACAATTATATAATTGTTGATATTTACACTTCAATAAATTTGATTAAATTACTATGTTTACTTTGTCAAATCAAAATTAAATTATATATAATTTTGGTTAGATTTTGATACCATGCCATATCATTTATAGCACAAATCAAACTATTGCCACGCATAATTTTTGCCAATAAAACTTTAATAATAAATATACATTTATTTTAAGCTTATATTATTTTGTTTTTGTTTTTTTAGTTGTTTAAAAAAATTGAACTCTCTCCGTGAAGTTTTAGAGGTAAAAGTAAAAAGCACTCCCATAAAAGATTAGGAAAAAAAGAAGATGGCATAAAAAAGAACAAAAGGAAGAAAAAATAAACGCGAATAATCATTAAAAATAAAATATGATACACAGCTTCTTGGTTGGAATGTTCACTTTGGCAATAAAATATGATACTTAATGCAAGTAAAAATGTAAAGAATGTTATGCGTGCAAAGGAAAACGAAGAAAACCTCAAGTTTACCGCCAAATTCAAATACGACAAACCCTAAAGTTTCCCGCCAAAGCGCTCCGAAAAACCACCAAATCGAACCGAATACAGAACTCCATCTCGCAGTTCCACAAGCTAGCTAGGTCTCAAGAAGTTCGAATATCCCTACACGATAAGTCCCGAACAACACTGTGAAATGGTATATGCAAAAGTGGGGACGAACCCTAAATCCAAGGCTAATCAGACTTCTAAGCTCACGAAGAATGTGTATCCGATCGGTGGCATCCAAGTGGAATTCCCATACCGGCCATACGGTTCGCAGCTCGCATTCATGGGCAGAGTTATATCAACCCTTGATCGAGCCCAGCGGGAGGGCCATTGCCACGCATTGCTGGAGTCTCCGACTGGAACTGGGAAGTCGCTTTCGCTTCTGTGTTCGAGTCTCGCTTGGCAGAAGAGCTACAAATTAAAAAGTCAGGATGCTAATTCCTGTCAGTCGAAGCCCGCTCCAGAGGCTGCGACTGATCCTCTCGCTTTTGGCGGTGGATTTATTCCCGAAGTGCAGCCGTCAAGTAAGTTTGCATGTCTGCACCCTGATCGTCCAAACAACTTGAAAACGCGATTTTGGTTGCATGGTCAGATCGTTTCAAAGAGGAAACTAGCTTGGAGTTCATGCATATTCTTATTTTTTTTCGACTGAATTTACCTTGCGACCTCTTTAGGCTTATATATTGGGGATATATTTATGGGCATTACATATATTAACATAGATTTTATATGCTGGCTGCCTGCAACAAAACATGCTCGTGTTCCAATACTGTTATTTTTTGGTAAATTGGATTTGGGTCTGATGTTGAAAAAAAAAAACTTATCATCCTTTCAAACGATTATCGAAAATAGATATTGTGGAATGCGGATGCTGGCAAGATTTTGTCTTACATGTGGTTCTTTTTCATCTGTACCGAAATTTCTACCGATGGAAGGACCTCAATTAGCAATAAAGTAACCGCGTTCACATCTGTAATTATTGTTTTATTTATTTATATAATTTGACTGGAAAAATATCAGCAAATCATTCTGAGGAATATGTTCGGTTTTCTAGTGTCTGTAAATACGGAGTCATCTCATCCAGCGCCAAACAACAAAAGTCAGAAGAAAAAGACAACCCCAACTATATACTATGCCTCGTAAGTTTCAATCTATTGCAATTTGAAACAAGGCTGGGATAGTTTCATATCGTTTAACTCCTCTACATTTGATGCTATTGCTATATGTTGTCTTATTCAAGGAGGACACATTCACAGATATCACAAGTGATCCGTGAGTATAGAAAGACTACTTATCGAGTGCCCATGGCAGTGTTGGTATGTCACCTCTCACCTCCTTAATGTGTTGGTGTTTCTTTGTACTTGTACTTGTATAATTTCCTGACGATGATTGTACATTGATTAAATTCGAGATTTTCAATCAGTTGGTTTCGGTTGTAAGTCGCTTGGCTTCCAATGTTGGCAGCTGTGGTTCAGTTGCCATGCATTTCTGGATAGTCTTCCGTAGGTCTCACTGTATTTTTATTTTACTAACCCCCCCTTTTCCCTCAGGCATCAAGGAAACATTTCTGCACAAATCCTTATGTACGAGGGAAAGAGAATATAGATGAAGAATGGTGCATATTTCTCTCCAAAGGCACATTTTCTTTGTTTGTTTGCCTTTTTCCTTAAATAAAATAATTTCATATTCTCTTTTTCCTTGTAAAATGTTTTGAAACCTACCAGCAAACTATTATTGAAGGATCAGGATGCAGGATGCTGTGAATTTAAGTGAGTTATCTTTATCCTTTATTTCCCTCAACCCAATTTATTTTGCTCTCACGTATTAATTAATAAATCAATTAGCAAAGGGAGATAAATGGTGCATTGCTTTATTTCTAATAACAAGCAGAAATGCAAACAAGGTCAAAAGTCATCCAACCCTTCAGAAAGGAGGTTGTCATGAGGTTCACGACATTGAGGATTTGGTGAAAGTTGGAGAAATTGTAAAAGGTCCATCTTTGAGTTTTCAGGTGATTAACATGCCTTTTGTTGTCATCACATGTTTAACTTGGTCTCTCTGCCCTTTCCAGGTTGTTCATATTATGCAGCTCGATCTATGGCAGATGATGCACAGCTGGTGTTTTGCCCATATAGCTATATTATCAATCCAGTTATTCGAGGAGCAATGGATGTAGATATTAAGGGTGCCATTGTGATCCTTGACGAAGCCCAGTATGTGTACTACCATCAATAAATTCTGCCTTTTATCTCAGTTGGAATGGTAGCTTCAGAAGATAGCTGGCAAATGCAGGCAATTAATTAGTTTAACATGTTTTCACTTTTCAGCAATATAGAGGATATTGCTCGTCATGCTGGTAGTGTGGATGTCGAAGAGGATACTTTAAATAGTAGGTTTTTGAAATTATACTATTTTGTTTGGCGATCTCAGAGAAATTTTTTCTTATGGGTTGCATTCCACATCTTTCAAAGAATTGCAGATGGAATTAGATCAACTATGTCATACTGATTCTTTGGTATACCAGCCACTGTATGAGATGACACAGGTAATTATTTATAATTATTCATAAAGATCACTAATCGTCTTCAAAGATATTTTGAGATTTGGAATTGCTATCAAAGATATTTTGAGATTTAGAATTGCTACTGAACTTTTAGGATCTCATAAGTTGGATTGATCAGAGGAAGACCACACTACAGAAGCGTGAGTTTCAGCATTATGTCACCTGGTGAGTTATGAAAGAAAGCTTTACTGGTTTTGCTGTAGCTTGTGATATCTCGGTTGCATATAGTTTGTCTTTGCATAATATTGTTTATAATTGTGGTTTATTTTAAACGTACTATCATATAATTAAACTTTTCTCATTTTAGGCTCCTTGATCTAAGAAAGAAATAAATGTAAAATGATTTTCTTGATGTAGCAAGGGTGTTTTATGCATTTTGGGCGTAAATTCCAGATTAAGTGTGTTTATTTCTACACTTCAAGCTGTTGAATAAACATGCATGTTTAGTTTATTTTCTTTCCCAAAAATAGTAGTTGAAGTTAATTTAAGAATATCTGTTTATGAGATGCATATCCCTACGTTCATGAATGTTGTAGTTGGACCGGCAATCATGCTCAAAGAGAGCTCCAAGAAGCTAATATAACTCAACAATGCTTCCCAATTTTGCTTGAATGTGCAACGAAGGTATGTTGGTCTTTTTGGGTTCTTTTAATGATTATGGGGGATCTTTCATTTCGGTCTTATTATCTTAAAGTTTCACCATATGCTTGTTTAGGCAATTAAAGCAGCTTCAGATACGGAGTCTGATACTGCACATTTGAGTGGCCTGTCAGTGATAACGCTGGAAGGTAAGAGGCTGCAGGGTACAGCTTTTGCTTTATTTTTATGTCAAACTTTCAATATTGACCTATTATAAATTTATTTAATGCAGGGTTATTTTCTTCATTGACGTATTTTTTCTCAAGAAATGGTTGCCACATGTCAGATTACCAGCTTGCATTACAACGCTATGTTAAAAGAGATCCTGGTAATCAGTTGCTTAGTCTTCTGTTCAATGCATTGGCTGGCAAGATTTTTCAGTCGATGATAAGAGTTCTTGGTACCTTTTGTAGTTTTAGGAATAAACTTACGTTGGTCTAGAAATACAAAAAGGAGACAAACCATCCTCCCAGGAGCTGATCAAGCTTTTATAAAGAGCTTTGATCGAGATATATCAAAAAAGGAGTTAAGTTGCAAAAAATTACTAAAAGAGAACACACCACATGAAACCCAAAAACTTATCTTACAACGTCTAATTGATCACTAAAATCCATATTTAAATATCATCAAATGTCCGATTATGTTTCATCTGAATTTCCCAAAATAAATCTTTAATAGAAATAAAGCAAGAATTTTAACGTGGCCACACCACAGGTTGACACCACTGTAGACTGGAAAGGAAATGAATAGTTATAGGGTCAGAAAGGTACATGTCGTAATAACTGCTCAGTTGGAATGTATTCATTGAATGTACAACTCAAGTCCAAGTTGTTTGAATCTCCCCTCTTTTGCTTTTCTCCATCAAGAAGCAAATCATATGTATCCTATTTGTTACCATGTTGAGATTCCTGTTCCCAAATCTTCATCGTTGCTTGAAAGTATCAAAGAAATACATTCCTTTTAATCTTTACATAGTTCTGATGATACAAAGCTGTAGAAAGGTTGACTTTAAATTGTACTACTAATGCTGAAAGCCTGAAAGAGGACTTTTAATCACTCGAGGGAAAAAGGAAGAGAAGAAATTGTCTGATGGTACCTGGAAAGAACTAACTTGCTTTTTTCCAGTAAAGACATTTGTCACTGAATCTTAAGCAAATTATTGGCACCTTTTTTTTTCTTCCAGGAAAAGTTTATGTTGAATGGACGCATACTTTAAGTTTGTGGTGCTTGAATCCAGCTGTCGTATTTAGAGACATCGCCGATCTTTCGTTATCAGTTATCTTAACATCTGGGTGAGCATCTAAGACTTGAAAGGTGGAACATGTAGCATATAGTTTATGAAAACCACAAAATATCCTTTTTATTCTTGCATTTCTCTACTATGCTCTTCAGCCTGATTGAATTCATTTTTAACATACCCTCCTTTCTCCTGGAAGAATAGGCTGACTTGAAGTTTCTCAAGATTTTTAGAACATCATACTGAGCCGAAAGTTTGAAAATTGAAATGCTTCCTTAAAGTGCTTTCTCTCTTCCCTACATCTTATTCTTTTGGTGGGATATATCATGTATGGTGCTTAAGAAGGCATTTCAACTATCTAATCACGTCTGATTTCACTTAATCAGGACCCTGTCACCTATGAATTCCTTTTCATCTGAACTAGGAGTTCAGTTCGGAACTTCACTGGAAGCTCCTCATGTAATTGACGTGGAATCTCAGGTCCAAATGGGCTTTTCCTATCTTCTGGTTTGCCTATTCTAGCAACTATTAATTTTGACCTATCAATAACTATACTGCAGGTCTGGCCAGCTATTATATCAACTGGTCCAGGAAACTATCCACTGAATGGAAGTTATAAAACAGCTGATGGATATGCATTCCAGGTATTTTGGAATTTCATGACTGATACATAACTTATTATAGGATTGTCTGGTCTTATACGTACCAGTTGTTTTCTCAAAGGATGCTCTAGGAAAATCTTTGGAGGAGATATTTTTGATCGCTCCTGGTGGCTGTCTTGTGTTCTTCCCTAGTTACAAGCTGATGGAGAAACTCCAAAATCGTTGGTCTGAAACTGGTCAATGGTCTCGACTGAATGCAAGGAAGTCCCTTTTTGTTGGTAAGATAAAAATGGGAAAATTTATGTCAACTCAGGCTAGTTTATTTACTTCCTGTTGTATTTTGTCAATCAAGATGGGTTTATTTACTTTCAATTTTTTTCCATGTTGCATTAAGAATGTTTTGCATGGTTTCATACAGAGCCAAGAGGAGGAAGTCAAGAGGATTTTGATTCCATTTTGAAAGGTTATTATGATACCATACGTCTTGGTGATAACTTTGCAGTCGGGAAGAAGAGACGAGGTAAGAAGGTTAGACCCAATTACCCGTGTGTGACTGGCTGTGAAAATCCCAAGGAAGGTGCGGCATTCTTTGCAGTTTTCCGAGGAAAGGTGTGTTCCTATTGGTTACTTAAAAACCAAATGCTTTTTCTTGTTTCTTTGTAGTATCATTAAGACCTTGTTGTCCTGAAGGGATAAGACAACCATGAATGTCGGATATGCAGCTTCCAGTTTGAAAGATGTTTCCATGACTTTATTTTTTGCTGTAGTAATCTGAACAAATTTTGGACATCTTGATGCCTAAACTGACTTAACTGATGGAAATTCAAACTTGGATGCATCTTCTGTGCATGATGGTTTTTTTTTTTCCCGCATGACAGCCTAAAACCATCCGTACTAGAGGTAACGTTATGTTGTTTATACAATATAAAATGATGGTACCATTAGAGATCCAGACTAGATGATCCATTCCTAATATTTATGCCGTAACCATGTATAATATTCTTTTTCAAGTGTCACCAGACTCTTTTTTTGGATAATGATACTTAGTGTCACCAAACTCTGAAGTTTGCTTAAAAACCTGCCACATTGAATCTGAGCTAAGAGTTGCTGCATCATACATTTTTGTAGCGGTCCACTTTTTTTTTTGCCTTTTGGATGAATGGAGATCAACTTCAGTAATATTGATGGCTAGTATTGTATTGTATTTATTAATTTCTTTAGGGGACTCCTGTTAGGGCACTATTAGTGGCTAGCCAAAACCATTAACCTTTGTCTATGATAGACTTCAAATCAGATTGGCATATATGAGGGGAGAAGAAGAGGAAGCATTAATTTAAAAGGCATGCCTAGTGCCTTGTTGAGGATGCCAAGAGGCACCCTCGTTGTGGAATGTGCCTTGGTGTGCCTCGCATTTTCTTTCTATTTTTTTTATTTGAAAAAAAATAGAAATATGTAAGAACTTCATCCAATAATGATCCAGTAGGTGGAAGTTACCAGTTTCAGAATGATCTGGATTCAGCTTGCTTCTTGAAAGAAACTATGATCTTTAATGATCCAATAAGTTAATGTATGATATAATTTACATGTGCTAAATTGACTTGTGCTTGCAGGTCTCAGAAGGAATAGACTTTTCTGATGATAATGCTAGAGTGGTTGTATCCTTTCCTTTTCCAAACAACACCTACCTTTCCTTGGGTTTGGGAGTGGCTTAGATTCATTATATCAATGAATCCATTTGAATTGGAAATCATAAAGTTAGTCAAGTTGAAAGGTTACTTTTTTTTTTCTATAAATATTTTTTATGGAAAGTCTTAACTAACATATACAGATAATTGTTGGAATTCCATTTCCAAATATGTAAGAACTTCATCCTTAACTTTATTTTTGAAGAAAATATGTTATATTATATTTTGACTATTTATTTTCAATTCCTGCCAGAAACGATATTCAAGTTTCATTAAAAAAGAAGTTCAATGACACATATAAACTGTCCAAAAATCTTTTAAGTGGAAATGAGTGGTACTGTCAACAGGCCTTCCGAGCTTTAAATCAAGCTGCAGGTATGGCTTGTAACTGTTCTCATTTATTTTCGTGCTTGTGAAGTAGTATCATGAAAAGTTACCTTGTCATATTGTATAACATTTTCTTTCTGCAGGACGTTGTATTCGACACAAGTTTGACTATGGTGCCATAATCTTATTAGGTAATTGCTTTAATAATTTCACTTGTTCTATCTATTTAAAATTTGAGCTTCACTGGTCACTAGTTTTGTATGTATGCACGTGATTGTTTGTGGGGAAGAGGAAGAAGTCTACATATTTAACTTGAACAGAGGTCCTCCAAAAGTTGCTTGGAGCTGCCATTTCTTGGCTGCCACATTTTGTTAGTTTTAGGGTTTTGATATTTTCTTGCTATGCTGATAAATCTGAAATGTCCTTGTCATTCTTGAAGTATTCTCTTTGGTAGACGCATAAGCTTATTTAATGTACAGCTTCCTCGTAGCTTTTCACAAGTTAATTTTTGCAAATAGATGAGCGTTTCCAGGAAGAGAGGAACAGGACGTACATTTCAAAGTGGCTAAGAAAATCTGTTAAACAATGTGATAACTTTGAACTGTCAATGGAGGGGCTGAAATCCTTTTTCGGCAACATAAAGGTCTGGAACATATTTCCTTGCTTGTGTTATTTTCTTCCTTTACATACTTTTATGGTCAGCCAATGAATTGCTGTAAATCGTTGTTTGGCTTTATTTCAGGAGCGCATTAACAAGAGTACAGAAAGTGACTTGCAGAAATCTGAGAATGAGGAACACATCACTTCCACAGACCCTAGTAGTTTTAGAAGAAAAGAGATTGAGAAACTTGACAAGTTAAATTATTGTGGGCAGAAAGTTTATACAAAAATAATGAAGTATGACTCCCCTTTTTCTCAACTGAAATCTCAAGGTGACGTTGAAGTTCAAGCTTCTTTTCAGGCTCGTGAGGATGCTAAAAACTGCATAATTGATCTGGAGTGCTGTGTTGAAGAGGACACGAGGTAAATATGGATTCCCTTTGCTTATGGCATGACTGACAGTTTAGTATCTTCCTATATTGCTGCATAATTTGATTCAACACTGACAACATTTATTCAGGAAAATTTTCCATTTTTGAATTGTACCTTTTTTCCTTCACTCACATGAATTGTAATTAGGCAGAACCACTACTGGTTGCAGGAACCATGAGTTTCTATCTATGACAACCGTCCTCGAAGTTCCAGATTCACCAATTGTGCAGGAGACTCCTTGTGTTGATGTTGGAGGTGTCACTAGTCCAGGAGACTCCAAAGATGGAAGATCAAGTTCAACCATAATCGAGGCCTATTCTGAGTTTCCTGATCAATTATCTATTTATTCATTACCTTTAACCAAATCAATAAAGTCTACTCTTACGTCCGAAACTTCAATGCTACATACTCCTGAAAGAAATGTTTCTTCAAATGGCTACAGCTTTGGACCAGAAATAGAATCTTCTTTGAATATGAGTGTAAATTCCCATACCCAGAAAAGGAGGAAGTCTGTGGGTTTAACAATTGCGAAATTTGTTCAAGAAGAGTCTGCTGTTGATCCCAAAACCAAAACTCCCGAATGCAATAGTGTGGACAGAGGCTCAATAATCAGCAGAAATTCAAATAGCCTAAAAGATATTAGTTATGAGATTCTTCCCACAGAAAAGAAGTCTAAGAGTTCAAATGTTCCACAACTACTCAAGCTGAATGACTCCATTCCTGTTTGTCCGTCTTCTGGCCCTCCTTTGGACAAAACGTTGCATCTGTCTTGTGTACTTTGTAGAAGCCCATTGGGCCGTCCGGAAAACCATTCATATGTGACGTGCTCATTTACAATGTCATCAAAAACACACTTAATATCTATATACAAGGAAAGGTTGAAGCCTCAAACTGCCAATTCATCAAGTATACCAGTTCTTATGACAGACATCATGTTTGTTAACCAGCCGCTCCTAGTTAGGGCTTCAAAAGATGCAGGATGTGGTATCTGGAGCAAGGAGGATGGTTGTGTATTCAATTGTGTCTTTTGCCCCTTCTGCCCTACTGACAATTGTATTGGTGTACAGATCATGGCAACTGATGCGTCAAACATTCAGTTACTTAATAAGGTATGTTTTAGTCAATATTTCTTAAATTTCGTGAAGGTTAAGATGAATTATCTGTGGTTGTTCAACATCTCAAACTTTATTATGACAGTTTTACCCACATTTTTTGATGATATTTCTCTTTTCCCATCATTTTGCCTGCTTAGGTGATGTTTTACTTGGAGTGTTTGGAGATCCAAGATCTAGAAGCACATACAGGAAAGGCTTCACTAAACACGGTTAGACTGATTTAATTAATCATACGAAAATGATTTTGTCAGATGCACTGGAAATTCTTGTCCTACTGGAGGGAAGTAAACATGTTAGTAGAAGAGAATTAATTGGTAGATGAGAAATCGAAGTAAAACTAACTAGTTACCGTGTACACAATATAGGCACGAATTAAAATCAGCATGATGGTTATTGGTTGGTTACTTAAGATTTCCAAACTCTATTGCAGGAGTTATTACCTGTTAGTAGCTCAGCTAAGAAAAAGTTGGCCGTCTTGGAACCCATTGAAAAGTTTTCATACTCCCCTGGCCCGCTAACCTCTGGAGGCTGGAGGTCTACAAAATTGAAGGCCAGAAGGAAAGCAACGTCATAGAAATATTCATCAACATTCTGCATGGCCTAATTTAACCACAGTGCTGCAGTAATGGTATAATGCGAGAACTGGCCATTTTGATTGTTCAAATTTACAACTCCAAGGAATGCAGCTGAGGTGGGAAACATCGGTGCATGTCTGGACAGAAGAATCTCTTAATCTATGTTCATTTGTACTACAATTGTAAATTGACTGCATATTTATCTTGATCATTTGTTTCCGGGTTGTGAAGCCCTCTGTATAGTTTCTGCATGATTGGGTATGTCACACTGTCATGCTGTTTTAGATAGAATAGCATTGTATTGCCCAAATTTGTTGTTAAAGAATCCCCAACCAACGGTAGTTTAATCTACCTTCCATGGCCCATCTATAAATAGGGATTTTGGTGAACTTGGCGTTTCTGGTTTAACTTTATGTTCTCTTGTAAAATGATCTTTTTAATTTAAGAGAAATAACTTGGCCGTGAATGTTGATCAGGATTCTGGATTAAGTTGCATTATGTACTTGTACTGTCTAGCCATTTGGCTGGCAGATTTATCAGGGACAACAGCAGAGCTATTGGAGTTTGGCAAGATCTTGTGCAGTGGCTCCTAAAGTTCATATCAGCTTCTCAGGGAGACGAGTCAAATACAAGGACAAGGGGGTCGGTTTCCATTATAAATACATTGTTTATGATTACCATTTTATTCCTATTTATTTGCAGGGTTCAGGTGAGCTGACAGTTTGATACGTCTGCGATCCCAATTTGATAGCTTACTCTTGAGTCTTGACATGATTCAGGAGCAAAATTAGTCGTAAGTCATGTTCGATCAAGTAAGCAGAATTGTAGAAAACACAACAATTTATACTACTAACATATTTAAATCCTTCAAAATTTGGGTTCAAGCCGTATTGTAATATATGTAATTCATAACCACGTATATAAAATGCCTCACAAGCAGCTTCAAAATTTAATTTTCTTTTACATGCAGTGTAATATTTACTATGTCAGTTGTGGTTCGCAAATTCCCCCAAGATGAGCTTCAGTACGATCAATCAAGCACATGAGTGGAATGTTGGAGGCATCACTCAACCAAGTGATACCCTTCACAAGGATGGTAAGGAGTATAGTCGTCTGGTACGTTCATTTTATCATTTGACAGATTATTTCCTGCACATGACAAGTTGAACGTAGAAAGTAACAAGTCATTCAGAGATGCCAAGACAATCAAAATATGTATATATCTTCATGTTTGATTCAGCATGCCCAATTGTATAACTGCTGCAAGAAGAAATGTTCAAATGTATAACTGCTGGAAAGTGCAGAAAGAACGTACTATGATTCTGTGTTGGGGTCATCTGACTGATATGACCAGATCCGAAAGACTGAAACATGGGTTCCCCTTTATTTGATTGGGCATCAAACGAAAGAAATTCAGCACCTAAATCAGATCTCTGAGAATACATGTTGCTCGACTTCGGAACAAAATCTTCATAAGTTTGGAAGGCTTCTGGTTTTGTCTTTTTCTCCTTTGGAGAATCAACTTCTGTCTCTGCTTCTGAGTCTGCATTATTTGGTTGTGAATTTGCTTGCTTTCTTTTTGAACGAGCTCTTCTGTTCTGAAACCAATTATAAACGTTTGCTTCTGAAATTTGACCATGTTGTGTCAGCTGGAGAGTTATATCTTTGATCTTCTGTTTGCTTGGGGTCCCGTTGCCCTCATCAAAGATCTGCTCAAGAATTTGAAGCTGCACAGGTGTTGGCGTCCACCTCTGCCTAGCAGTGATCTTATGGCCAGCAGCAGATGCCATTATTGGATCACAGTACAGATTCCCTAGCCTCATTCCTGAAAACCAGACATTAAAGTTGTCAAGGAGCAAAGTTTTTCTTTTTTTGCCCCGCAAGAGATCCATTTATCCAGTTATGTTGGACCATCAAGGATATTGAGACCATGAAAGAGAAGCAGATGGTCCTGATGATAAAACAAACAGCTAGGTCCTGCTTAATCGTACAATTCTGGTTTGTAGCAACAACAGAACAGGTAATATTAAAGTTTAAACAATCAACAGAATAGACGAGAAGACTTTCTGTAACTCAAATTTAGTCTTCCAGTTCACTTACTGTACTCCAATTAGACCTAACCCAACTAATCTTGTAGGTTCAAACGAAGTGAGAAGAAACAGAGAATCCATGGGAAACAGTAATGCAAGAAGATGGGCAGAATTAATTGAACAAAGCTGGAACGATGACCCACAGTGCATTCCAATATAGAAGAAATGAAAGGAAGAATGAACAGGGTGAGAAAGAGAGAGAGAGAGAGAGAGAGAGACCTGCAAGGTCCTGCTGGGCGGTGATTGCCTTGTGCATCTCCACAAGCTGCTCGCATATGGAAGCATAAACAGAGATCTGTTGCCTAAGGAGCTCCATTTGCTCATCCGTCATCACCTTGACGTACAGCCCACCAGCTCCATCGGCGTTACTCAATTGCTCCACCTGCATTTGCATTTGCATTTGCAATTGCTCAGTTTGAATCTGTTGCTGCTGGTTCTGCCACTCCATCATCCTCTTCTTTTTCCTCTTCCTCTGCAACTTCTAGGTTCTACGTCCCATTCTCAGCTAACCCATTTGGCCATTTCCACGAAGCTCTCCATTTCCATTCTCCTCTAAGCAAAGCAAAAAGCAATCAAATGGAAATGGAAGCGACGCAGAGGAATTGGATTGGACCCTAAAAAAGAAGGAAAAGGCGTGAAAAGCGCGGTCAGAGTACTGTGCTGTGCTGGACATGCCACGTCGGACGCGCACTCTTAGCAGTAATTGCGCAGGTCGCGGCGGGTCTTCTGAATCTATGGGTTTGTCTGTATCTTCTTCTTCTCTTTGCTTTGCCACGACGGCAATGTCTCTTAACATTTAGCGCCCCCTACTCGCAGGTGAAGCACGTGGGAACCACGAACCAATGCACTGTGGAATCCGCTTGTCTTGGGATCGACTTGTCGGCCGCAGGTAAGTTGGTTTGGTGTCGTCAAACTGCTTATTGGGTTATTCCATGCAACGTTCGTTTTAGAGTTCAGACAAATCAAAAAGTTTGGACCTTTTTTTTTCTGATAGAAACCACCGACTGAAAATTCAACCCATTCTGGAACCTCCATGTGTCGGAACCTAACCAAAGGGATTTTCTTTTAAATTTTTTTTTTTGGACCGATTAGAGTAATTAAATAATGTCAATTTAATGGATGGAGGTGGTGAGTGGTGACCATATTATTAAATGACCACTATCCTCTCTCTCTCTCTCTCCCTCTGATGAGTTGATCGTAGACCTGCCCGTAGAAGATTATAAAGAAAGACAGGAGAGAGGGAAGAAAAAATGGAAATTGGTTCCCCCGACTTGAAGTACATGTAAAAGAGGTTACGTGTACCTTTTATTTATTTATTATTATTATTATTTTTTACTGGAGATGTTACGCGTACCTAATTCGACGACCATGACCTCAAAAAAGAAGAGTTTTTCTTTTATTTATTTTTTGAAAAAACTTTTAATATTATGGAATATAAAGTTGCAAATGAGCTGAAACCTTTCTTTTGATTATTTATTTTTTTAAAAGTCGATTATTGATTAATATTGATAATGTATAATTAATCCGGATTTATATGAGTGGTAGACTAGAAACTATTATTTATCTATTAAAAATAGCTAATTCTAATAACTTAGTTTAACTATGTGCTATTTGACATTTATTTCTAATTAAGAATTATGTATTCGATTTTTTTTCCTGTTTTTATTCTACTCAAAAGAAAAAAAAAAACTAATTTTCTAGATCGATTAAACTTCTAAAACAAAGACTACCTCAGAAATTATAGCAAAATCTTTTGAAATGAGAAGATTAAGAGCAACTCAAATTGTCTAGACGTTAGCTGAAGGAATAATAGTCCTTATATTCTTCCTAGATATTTCACTTTGTCGTCGATATATAACTATCCAAGTGAGAAAATTTATCGACATTTTGGTAAATTTAATTGAAGCCTTTTCTTTGTCCCTTCTGATAACGTTGGATAGATTTGATTTGTCTTCTTTATAGCCAATGTGGTTTAAAATTTCCCGGGAATCTACCAAAATTCAACCCATTCCGGCGAGGCTCATACTCCGAAACGGCGGCGGCCGGAGAGAATAAGAACAAAAAAACATGTTCTTGCCCGGCGACAAAGCTCAGATGACGAGCCTTCTATCTCCCTACCAGATGGGACGCTTCTCTCTTTCTCACAGGTCAGAGTAATAAAATATCTCCTCTCGATCATGCCAAGACAGCGAACATGTGTCTGAATCAATCTATTCTTTTGTTTTCTTTTTTTTGTTTTTCAGGATTGTTTTGGCGCCGTTGTCGAGGTTAAGGTCTTACAATTTCACGGCTCAACCGCATGCCGCTCTGTATTACTCTCAGAGGACGACGAAGGGTGGTTTCATGATCGGAGAAGCCTCCGGAATCTCCGATACAGCTCAAGGGTACGTAATTTCTTCCATCACTTTATTTTATATCTTCAACGATGTTTCCGTGCCCCAATCACTCCGTTTGAATTTGAATATATTTGAAGTTATCCAAACACTCCTGGAATTTGGACAAGAGAGCATGTGGAAGCTTGGAAGCCAATCGTGAAGGCTGTTCATGACAAAGGAGGTATTTTCTTTTGTCAGCTCTGGCATGCTGGAAGAGTTTCCTATCATGGTGAGTATGATTTTGTAGCGAGGGTGGAGCCAAAAAAAAAAGGAAGGAGGGGGCACTTGCCCTCAATTAATTTGTCGAAAATTCCTAGCTTCCATGATTTTAATGTTTTAATTAGATAAGCTACATTGAATTTACCTGCTAACTCCAAATTGGACTGATAAGAATCATGGTGTTATTGGGCTGAGAATTAGGATTGCCTTATCATGGACTGTTGCTTACTTAACACAGAGTCTTCTCTGTAATAGCTTTTCAGCCGAATGGTCGTCCTCCAATATCGTGTACGGACAAGCCACTAACCACTGAGAAGCAAATATGTGGAAGCATTGTACCGGAATATCCCGTTCCTCGACGACTGACGGAGGAGGAGATTTCTCAGGTGGTCAACGACTTCAGGGTTGCAGCCAGAAATGCTATTGAAGCCGGTAAGACAAATTCCATTTTTTAAATAAAATAAGAGAACCCAATTGAAGTTATACAGATCCCATGTGGAAACTTTGATCACTAATCAAAACAAAACAGGTTTCGACGGAGTTGAGATTCATGGAGGGAATGGGTACTTAATCGATCAGTTTCTCAATGACCAAGTCAACGACAGAAGGGATGAATATGGAGGAAGCTTAGAAAAGCGTTGTAGATTTGCTCTGGAAGTGGTAAAAGCTGTGAGTGAAGAGATCGGGGGACACAGAGTCGGAATCCGGCTGTCGCCGTTTGCCGACTACAACGACTGCGGTGACTCCGATCCCGAAGCTCTAGGAGCGTTCATGTGCGAGTCATTGAACAAATATGGGATATTGTATTGCCACATGATCGAGCCGAGGATGATAACTCAGTTTGAAAAGTGTGAGACTGAAAAAAGTTTGTTGCCGATGAGAAAGGCGTTCAAAGGAACCTTCATTGTAGCCGGAGGATACAGTAAGGAGGAGGGAGAGGACGTGATTGGAAATGGTGGGGCTGATCTTGTTGCCTTTGGAAGATTGTTTTTGGCGAATCCGGATTTGCCCAAAAGATTTGAACTTGGTGCTGCTCTTAACGAGTACGATCGGAGTACCTTCTACACTCATGACCCTGTAATTGGCTACATTGATTATCCATTTCTAGAACAAACAACTCGCCTTCACACTGGTCAGTAAGAAGAGTGGATCTCAAATGAATTTGACAAACAGTGGACATTCTGACAGCGAATTTATTAGAAATGTCATGTGTCGTTTCGATGATAAAATAATAGTTCCTACTGATTTTGAGTTGAAATGTTTCCGAATGAAAGCAAATGACAGGCATTCATGGGCCATTGGACATGAAGAAATTATCATCTTCAATACAATTACAGTTTACCTTCTTTTTAATGAGAAAATGGATCATATGACATTATTCAGAGATAGAAAAGGCTTCAGACAAACGAGCAGGTGAAGGAATAGTTAGGTTTCTCTAGCTAATCAATTTGAAGAGCACTCATGTTGGGCTGTTGAGTGATTTGGAAACAAGGAAATCAACTATTAGTTTACGAAGTTGTTCAAATTGATACCATACACAGAAACAATAAAATTGTAGTAATTACCAAGTAGATATTTGGTTCAATCTCAAGTTTTATTAATAGATTTATCAACATATTTTATGTTATAAATTTTGTATAGTTATCATCCGTATGAAATCCTTCTGACATGTTGACCATACTCGGTGAAAATGATTTTTTTTATACATATATATTTTACTAATGTTTTGCAATACTATAGGAATGTCTAACTTTAAAATCTTAAGCTCCATTTTTTCTGCTGAGCCGCACGCCGCTCTGTACTCTCAAAGGACGCCAAAAAGGGAGGTTTCAGGAATCTCCAATACAGCTCAAGCGTACGTAATTTCTTCGTCGATGAACATCAGAACGTTCACCGTCAAACATGTATGACAGATGATCTTTAAGATTTCTGGGCAAAAACGAATACTTATTTCCAATTGCAATTCTACAATTTACCTTCTTTTTGAGTACGAGAACGAACATCTGACATTAGCCAGAAAAGGAAAAAGCTTCAAACATACGAGAAGAGATCAAGTTCGGCCCCAATTATCAAGTCATACTACTATTGGTTGAAAGGATTGCTTAAATCTATAATGATTGCATGAGTACAAGCTGTAGAACTTGGCCCAAAGTAGAAAAAAAGAAATAGAGCGAATTATTGGGTGCATCTTCATCTCCTCTATGTGGAGTGGAAAGTTGTTGCCATTTCAGTTGAAAAAAAAAAACATAGTTGGATTGGAATAACTAACATTGTAAGGTACAAGACAGATGATCTCCCATTACAACCATTCGTTTCTGAATGCACAAACAAAATAACAGGGAGATACTAATATATTTGCATGATATAAAAAACAATTAACAGGAAATGATCAGACCATTAATATAGAACGATCAAGTTCACTGACAGCCTAAATGACTTTACTACCATCTACATCTTCATTACTCGTCATCTTCCTCCTGCAACCACAAGAGAGAAATGAAATAAGTGAAAGGGTACAAAGCACAATAATGACTGGAAAAAATTCTTCAACCCACTAACCTCTTCGCTGCCCTCGTCTCCATCCTCATCATCATTCACCTCAGACATGGACTTCTCAGATTCATCTTCTTCAGCAGCATTGGCTCCACTGGCCTGAACTCAAATGGAGCAGGGAGAGATAATGAATTTACAAAATAAAATACAGCTGCAAAATATAAGATTCGGAAAGTTTTCAGTACCTGTTTCTTGTTATAGGCCTTCATATTTTTCTCATATTCAACCTTCCTCTTGTCAGCCTTAGCAATGTAAGGTGCTTTTTCCTGATATTATAAACAGTAATTCAGACAGAGTTTATAATACCAGGAGAAATTTAGAAAATACTACGAGAGGTATCACGTACAGCATCTGACAATGATTTCCATTTCTGTCCAGCAGCTTTACCAACCTGATGGTATCATTTGTAGGTCAATTATAACTGCTCATTTCCATAAAAGAATTTATATAATATGAAATGGGGACAAGAAAAAAGAATTGACAATTAGACAAAGGTAAATAGCTTACAGCGGATACTGCTTTGTTATTCGGATTCTCTTCATTAAACTTCTTCCTGAACTCCTCCCTTTAATTACAAAACGTGCAACAACATGACAACACAGATTTTAGATACGTAATCGACTTACAGATAAAACAAAAGAACGGGTCCACTAGCTAAATACACATATAACACAGAGATCGTTTTGTTGAAAGCCGGCTTATTTAACATCCTTAAACAAAAATCACCGAAAACAACTTCATAGTTCTTTTCTTCCTTGTTTGCAATTTTTCCAACTCTACAACCATCCGAATGAATAATTTGCAGTCAAGCAGCGTAATTCAGACATCTAAAAGTAAATTGAAAAATGAAATAATTACATAAAAACGAAGAAGGCACTGGCCGGCCGCTTAGGTTTGTTAGGATCCTTCCCTGCTTTCTTACCCCGTGTTGCGCCCGCTTTGGCTGCACCTTTCTTCACAGAAAGCCTACAAAAAAGATCGCCAAAACCGATCAATCAAAAAAGAAAAGGTCAACGCATAGCTTTTACAAAGGTAATTTAAGCAACGAAGCTTCTTAAATCTAGGGCCGATCAGAGCTATAAATTAAACACATCCGACGGAGAAATAGGGCGAGAAAAAAAAAAAAAAAACTCACTTCGCGTCTGCTTTCTTCGACTCGGACTTCGATTTTCCACCTTTCATGTCGAATCCTGCAGTTATAAGATCGGATCAGCAACAATCTCGAAGGAAAACAATGAAAAGACGTGAAATTAGGTCGGAATTGGAAGGAGATCGATGAAACGAACCTCGGTGGGGGGCTCCGGAGCGAGGCTGGGTTAGGTTTAGGGTTTGAAGAGGGTGGAGGGAGCGGACCTGCGTGTGAGGAAAGGGGAACCGAAAGATAGTAAAAAGAAGAGAGATATTAAGTCCGAGAGGCCAAATTGAAATTCAATTGCGCACCAAATGAAAACAGGGGTTTAGGCGGGATTCTAAATTTATTGCCACCTCATCAATCCGCGCACTCTCACCCTATTGGCCCACGTCATCCAGAATTTAAGATCTCTTCCCCTTCTCTCTGTCTCCGCCCCTTTGTGTTTTCTCTGCTAATATTCGTTGGTGGTGCGACTACCGCGGGGGAAAGGCATCTCTGAAAGCCTCGTTTTTCCGAATTTGGGCCTTAATTCTTAGCCCGCAAAAATAAGCCCAACATTGAGCCCGTCTTTTCAAATTTTGGCCCAAGAAAACGGCCCAATGTTGAACGTGAGGATCTTAAACTTCAGCCCGCAAAAGTAAGCCCAATTTAAAACCCAGTCTAGCCTAAAAAGATGTATATTATATTATTATCATATATATACCCTTTTATTTTAAGTAGTTTCCAATATTGTCCCACTATGTCTACTGGTTTCAACTTTAACCTTTAACTATATATTTTTTGGCAATGGTATTTGTCAAAGTATTTAAAAATTTTAAACTTTAAAGCGACAATTAATTTTCCTTGAAACAGCGACAATTAGTTATTAGTATGAAAAATACAATGTAAATAACAGTTTTTTGAAGAATAAAAATATGAAATGTTTATTCATAAGGGTAGTTTTGATAATGAAATGGTATAAACAACACCATTTAGGAAAAAAGAAAGGCCCAAATTAGAGCCTGTCTGTTAATATTTGGGCTTTATTTTATAGCCTGCAAAAGTCAGCCCAAAGTGAAACCCAATAAAAGATATGGGCCAGAAAATACTTAAAGCCCATAGCCGTAAAGAGGGCCCAGTTGTAAATTTGTAACTGCGTTCTCTCTTTCTTTGAAAGCACGTTATGCCGTCATGTGATTCGCACGTGCCTAGAAATCGCTGCATCGTCCGCCGTGAAAACTGAAAATTAATCGACCCCCTGCGTTTCGGTGGTGCGAAAAGGGGACGAAGAATGGGCGACGTGTCGAAGACAACGATGAAGAAGAGGAAGAAAAAGGGGCGCCCTTCTCTTATAGATCTTCAGAAGCGCTTCCTCAAACAACAAAAGTTGCAGGAACGGCACAGTCAACCGCCTAATGCTTTCAACTTTGCCTCGAACCCTAGGACCCCGTCGTCTCGTCGGGATCGTAATGTTCACCCGGTGGCAGAGTGTGTTACCGGCTGCGACGGCGGCGGCAACGATGACGATGACGACGACGAGCGCATAGAGAAGAAGCATAAGCCCTTGCTTGGTTTAACTTCTTGTCAAAACTATCCAACATTGTCCGCTAATCCTTTACGAAATCCGGCCTCCAATAGCGAAGATTCCGAGGCGGCCCTCAAGCGTCGCAGAATCGGCGCCCCCCAGTTTGGATCCTACGAAGTGGTGATGAACTGTCTCTATTCGATCGTCAAAAAATATTTTAAAGCATTGGTGGAACGGGAATTTGGTTGTTTGAAAAAAAAAATTCGGCGATGATTTTATTCCTGGAATCGTATGTTTTTTTTTTAATCGAACGAGATTTAAATGTTTGTTAAATTTCGCGCGTAAATTGAAGATTCTGGAAAACTTTCTGTCAGATCGGAAGTTTGTGGGGTGTGTTTGACTCGGTCAAGTTTCACCTCTATTTTATTTTTGAAATATGGGAGGATCGTTGTTTTACATATATTACTTCTTTATTTTATAATTAATTAATTGTATGGAAGCTTTATGAACCAAAATAATGCGCACACACATGACAGCATCCACTTGAGAAGAATTAATTTGTCTTTTCTATAATTATTTCTGTGTTCTCTGTTCATGTATCAAAGCTGTATCTTGAGCCCTCTGCTGCAACTTTTCTCGAACAATTCTTTTGCCCAATTCACTTTTTTAAATAGTTAAATATTATCTCGAAATCCCCTCCCTCTCCCAAAAGTTCTAATATTGTTTTAACGCCGAGATTAACTTAATTTGCAGAGTGAAAAAGCTTTGAAAGCGACAGACACTGAACATGGTATCGAATTCTTAACTAAGCTCAGTTGTTGCTGGAGATGCGCTATTGTTCAACTTTATTTGCTGATACTATTTATGTGTGGGTAGGGTCGCAGGTGGAGTCTGGCCCCACGACAACTTTGCCAGACAAAAAGTTGCTTATTTTCATCCTTGATAGGCTTCAAAAGTGCGACTGTTCATTTGTTTCTTATCGTTTTCCCTCATTATTGTTTGCCATTTAATTATCGTTTTGAGTAGTGCTCTCTGTTTTCTTCCAGAAAAGACACCCATGGAGTGTTTTCTGAGCCCGTGGATCCAAACGAGGTGCATTTCTATGACCATATTTTGTTCGGTTGTTTTTAAATATCCAGGCTTATTCGGGTTCATGTTTGATTGTCTTACAGCTTCCTGATTACCATGTCATTATTGAGAATCCAATGGATTTTGGGACTGTGAGGGCGAAATTAGATGGAGGAGCTTATGCAAATTTGGAACAGTTTGAGGTGGCTACCATAACTTTATAATTGCACTATTAGTTTATGTACACCTGGTTTTGATGAAGCCTCATTTATACAGTTTATTTTCCTCATTGTGTGTCAATTTTGTTTTTCTAAATCTAAATTAACTCTACACCTGATAGACTTCCAATGATGCATACATTTGCTAATTTTGTAGTGAGACTTTCTGTTCTTCCACACGTCTCGTCCTCTCTTCCCATTGCAAATTGTCTAATTATTATGATATTTGACATGTGGAACTCGTTTAGCTGCCTGCGCCACAACCATGTCAAAATGTTGTCAACCATCTTTGCCCTACCTGTGTTTTCAGAATCTTCTGTCTTCTATTGGGGCCATGACAACTTGGCCTTTACACTGCTATTTTGTAGGAAAAGAAGTGCATGGTTGTCTATTTTACACATTGTGGTTTGGAGTTCAAGTCTCTGATATGTCCTAATCTGGATGTGGTCTTGATTAAGATCAGCGATGACCTGTCATAATATCTTGAAAACCACTTTGATGGGATTGAAGCTGTACCATGGATATTAATTTTTCATGCTATTGTCCAAAAAGTTGAATTGAATTATTTTATCTGTTTTAGTGTTATTAACACACCGAAATTGTACTCAGAACCTAAGAATTTGCTTATATTTAACATGACAGGTTCACTTTCTTATTATACAGGAGGAACTTCTTTTATTCTATGACCTTTGTTTCTCAAAAAAAATATATTTGATGTTGATTTTTAAGTAATTTATCATTATTATGCTGCTTGGATACAGAGGTAAGTACTAACATTTTATCATTCCAATCTTGCAGGAAGACATTTTTTTGATATGTTCAAATGCAATGAAGTATAACACTTCAGATACTGTTTTCTACCGTCAGGTTTAGACCAGTCTGGACTTGTGTTTTTGAATATTATGGCTTTTGTATTTGTCAGTATAATTCTTGGATTTACTGTTTAATGTTTTAAAGTTTACTTTATTTTAGGCAAAAACCATACAAGAACTTGCAAAGAAGGATTTTGAAAATTTGAGGCAAGATAGTAGTGATGATAGCGAACCAGAACAGAAAGTTGTGAGGAGAGGTAGGCCACCAGGAAAGAGCCAGAAGAGATCTCTTAGTCTTGGCAACCCTATCGAAAGTATTGGAACCGAGTTCTGCACACCACCCACTACTCTTGCTTCTGGATGTGATGATTCAAACAGTGTAAATGGTTACAATTTGAGAAGATCACGCTCTTCCTTCAGGCCCTTGTCTTCAGATCCTCTTGTAAGGACATCTTCTACGACTCAACATGGTGAAACTTTGGCCAGCTGGTTGCCTGAATGGAAAAATGAATTTCCAGGTTTTTTATACTTCATATTCCTATAAAATATCTTGTGGCCAATCTTTGGAGGTTTGTTTCAACAAACTGAGATTTTTTCCACTTGTTTTCAGCTTCAGTTTTGAAGGGTGTTCTTAAAAGTGGGAAGAATGATAATATGGCTGTGGATGAGAATAGACGCGATACCTATAATCATTCATTGCCCTCTGGGAATTGGCCATCTGTCTTTGGGGACTTTGATGGAGACTTGAAGCAACTAATTACAGTACGTAGAGTCATTCCACATTCTTTGCTCTTCTTCAATGTTGAATATGTACTAGACTACAGTAATTCACATTTATTGTTTTG